CCCCGTTGTCCGTCGGTAAGGGGACATTCCTCTTCTCCTTGAACAAGCAATCGGTACACACTACACTAGCGATTCCGTTTTCTCAGAACTGGCACACAGCACACACGTACTTTTCTCCAGTTTGTGTCCTCTCTTTGTAGACTTGCATGGCACATCTCAAGCAGAGAATCGAAAGTGCTCCTATGCATCCTGAGATATTCTAAGCATTTCTCATTGTCTGCAAGTACTTCCTCTATCAAGTGACTCTCGACTAATGATTCCTGTTGTTTAAAAATGGGTTGAATCCCAAATCTGCAGTGCTTTTGCGATAGTTTTCTAATGTACCACCACCACAAACATATTTTTGCTTCGCATTTAGCGCCATCTTGTTGGCTTACCACGACTGATTTTTTCCGGAACCTGTGGGTTTACAATTACGCACTGAAACCAGCAAAATGTTCGTGGTCTGTGGACGGGTATCCATGCTATTCTTTAGTTATTTTTTTCCGTTTTCTGAAACTTAAGGTTACAAACAGAGTGAACCCGTCGTCGTTTTTTTTTCTTTCCCAGCGTAACAACGAGTCTAAATTTTACGCAATATGAATTACTCTACGCCGGCTAGAGTGGCGTGGTTTTCAAACCCAGCGCGAACCCGTGCTGCGCCCGTGGCAGACCCGTCGTTTCGCTGGAGTTTCATTATATTTTTGAGAGGAAAGTGTTTTACGGCATTCGCAACTGTATACGGTCATATGAGCGCGCAGGACACATTAAACTTTTTCAGTTGGTAAGATATTTTGAATTTTGCCCGGGTGGCGGCCGAAGCCTACTCTTATCGAGTTTAGACCACCGAGGGATCTTTAACGTGCTCAATTTGCACACGGGCCCTCCAAGATTTTTCGCCCTTTTCCGAGAAGGCTAGGTGTAGGTCTTTCCTACCAGAAGATCAGGGTTGTGGCGGAAAGACTGCAGCAAGAGGAGCCAAGGAGTAGCAGTAGAAAGGCTGCAGAAAGAGTCAGGAGCCCAGAGAAGGGGGTGAAGAAGGTGAGGGGGTGGGGGCAGAAAGAGGAGACGACAGAAGACGACAGAACATTGCTAGAGAGCAGGAAAGGAGGTGAAAGGAGACAATTTTAGAGAATTAATTTTTTTTCGTCACTACTCGGATTCGAACCTGGGACCTTTGAATGAGAGGCTAACACCTCAACCTCTAGGCCACGAGAGCCCCCCTTTTTCATTTCATTTTAGTGCAGCACTAAAATTCGGCAAGTGTGTAACCGTCTTTTCTTTCCTTTTTTTAGCAACGACATTACATGGAGATGGAAGCTTTGATAGAGACTGCAAGAAAAAGGCAGGTTTTTGTATGACAAGGGAGACGAAGACTATTCAGAGTTTTAATCAGAGTTTTAATACCCCCCGCGGCGGTGACTGGAGTGTCTTTAGGCCATTCCCAAAAGGGAGGGGGGGAGAGGCATTTCTCGTTCATGCACAGTAGAATTGTAAATGGGCTGATTCATCAATGTCATGCTCATAACATGCCTGATCTACAACAGGGAACTGCTGCTTTTTCTTTCCTAATTCTTAATGTCATTTTTCCTCTACTTCTTTTGTATGTTTGTCACACTCTTGTGACCCGCTATTTCCGGGGTGCCTTGAAAGTCGAAACAGACTTTGTTCTATTGAAGCTAGAACGGTGAGCAGAGTAAGCCTGATTCCCTGTAAAGACTTCTCTGTTGACATCCACCCCTTGGCGCTCATATGACCTTATGCAGTTGTGAGTGCCGTAAAACCTCTACTAATAAAAGAAATAAAAAGAGTTTTAATATTTACTTGTCTTACATGTCCACTGTGTTGGGGGTCACTGCAGTCGGAATATGTCCATCTCTGCTCTACCCCCCCCCCCCCCTTCAGGATCCATCCCAGAGTCTGTCTGCTTTTAGTTTCCATCATAATCTGGTTGGAGATCTGTCGGACAGGTCCGCACAGATGGCTGTGTTTTCCCTCTCCTCTTTGGATCCCCTTCTCCTTCAATCAACTAGAGTGTGGGATTCGCTATCCGCCCTATTCTTCCTCAAATTGTCCCTTACAGCGGTTAGGACGGTTGGTGGGTCCAGTGTCAAATTCCCTCCCACTTATGCTTCTCCAGCCAGCTTGTCTGCAGTCTCGTTGCCGGTTACCCCCGCGTAGCCCGGGCAAAAGATCCAGGCCACTCTTTCCAGGCTGCCTTCCCTGATCGTAGCCTTCCAGTCCGCCTACAGCATTCCTTTCTGTACCTTCTGTAGTGTGCTCATAGAGTCAGTAATGATTACTGCTCGCTGATGGCTTGTGTTCTTGATCAAGTGTAGAACCTCACTTATGGCTTTTATCTCCATACACATACTTGATGTTGCCAGTGCAGTAATTGCTCCACTTTGCTCTTTCACTACTACCCCATCAACTCTGACACTGAAGGACCAGCCCGATTTGACTCCTCTGTTGACTGATCCATCCTAACCCTTGAGACATACAACATCTGAGTCTAATTTTTTTTTTTATTCTTTAGAGACACATTTAATGGCAACATTTTTATGTCAGTATATTTATGTTCAGCACAATGTTATGTAAATGAGTATATTATAATATTCATTTACGTATTTTACGAATTGCATTGGGTATATTATTTTATTATATATGTGTATGTGCTCATTTCGCAAAGATGTGTAAGCGTGCGCGTGTGAAAAGCAAGTAGATGTGTGTGTGTGTGTGTGTGTGTGTGTGTGTGTGTGTGTGTGTGTGTGTGTCTGTGTGTGTTTGTATGAGTGTGTGTGTGTGCGTGTGTGTGTCGCGTGCGAGAATATTGTTCGTACATGCATTTATGTAAAGCGCCTAGAGCTGTGTTTACACGAGGATGGGCGCTATAGAAATGTTCTGCATTATTCATTTTATTATTAACCGTGAAGAACACTGCATGTACATGTTCGCTTTGCTCTTCTATCAGGGTTTCAATTTCAGCGTTTGTAGCTCCAAGTGGCCAGTTGCGACATTCTCTACCCAATATTGCATTCACTGTTGTGTACTCTCAGAGCGCATCTTCGACCACAACCCAATCCCTGCCTGTCCTGGTGTCTTGTATCGGGCAGCACTCGTTGACGGTGTTCGTGGCTTGAGTCATCCTTTCTGTGCCCCTCTTTAGCCTTGATGTTATCTGCCACTTTCTTATGTAGATGGTTCGTCTCGTCTGCGCTCACTCGCAGAAAGGCTTGGACTTCTGCCAGTTTGTGCCTCTCGTCTGCACATGGGAAGTCTAGGAAGTATCTCATTGCTTCAGTTGGGGTGTCTCGTTTTCACCACAAGATTGCCCTCATTCCTTCATTTTGTAACACCTCGAGTCGTTGAAATTGCGCCTTCAATGGGGTCAAGAGTCCAAGCCCGTACTCTACGACAGAGAGTACCTGAGTCTGGTAGAGGATGACAAGGATTTTCTGGCTCATCTTAGCTCAGGCCATCATCGTAAGGGCTGTTAGGCTTTTTCTCGCACTTTCAAACGTGATGCCCAAGTACTTCAGGGTGGGTTCCCTCTTCAGCACTTTGCCTCCAATCGAGATACTTGGCATGTCATCGTGCACTGCATGGTTATTTGGTGTACACCACAGTGAACAGACTTTATCTGGGTGCAGTTTCCCGTTGTCCGCTTCACACCACTGTTCAAGTTTGCCAAGTTCTTCCTGTACTCTCTCTGCTGTAACCTGGCGGTTCTTGCCTTGCCTGTACACCAGCACATCATCAGCAAAACTGAGTACACGTCCGAGCCCTTCCAGCTGGTTGGATGTTATCCCTATTGTATAGATGTTTAACAGAAATGGCGAGAGTGCAGATCCCTGTGGTAAGCCTGGTGCGATCTCGGTAGGTTGCGAAGCCCAGCAACCAAGGCGTAGTGCTACTTTTCGTTTGAGCAACGCTGCCCCAATCCATTGTACTAAATGTGGATCTACCCTCAGGTTGACTAGAGTCCTCATGAGGGGGTCGTACTGAGCTCTGTTGTAGGCTTCTTCCAGGTCAAGTGCTGCTACCAGAGTTTCTTCTCCCCGTTCGAAGCCATCATATACGTCGGATGCAAGAGTGGCAGCATTCATCCATGTGATCTTTCCTCGTCTATAGCTGCCCAGTTCCGACGGTAGGACGTTCTTTTCCTCCAGCTCTATTGCCAATTTGCGTTCCACGATTTTCTCCAGCAGCTTCCCGACGGTATTTTGCATGGTCACTCTGCGATATGAGGCAATCTTGCTTGGGTCCTTGTCTGGCTTAGGAACTGGGGACAGGTGACTGTCCAGCCAGTCTTCAGGTATCTCCCCAGTCCACAGGCTTTCGTTTAGCCTCTCGGCTAGTGCCATTGTCTGTCCTTCCCCCGTGGGCTTCATGTGGCCATAACGTACTCCGACAGGACCAGGAGAAGTGTTGGATGCTTCCTGGAGATATTTATGTAAGACTATTTATGGAGAGACTAAGTCGCTAGCCTTGCAAATGACAAACGTCAAAAGCAGACAAAACAAAGGTAACTTTCCGTGTGAAAGGGTCATTGTTCAGATGTGAATAAATGGACACAAACACGACTCAAGAACGTATCATATATACTCAATACTTTCACATTGTTTTCGTGTCTTTGATGCTTTAGTAAGTAAGTGCATGGGTCGCCCCGATCAACACTATTGCGTTATTTAACAGGCAAAACCTCCAAATTCAACGTCCGTCTCCGATAGGACCCACCCAAATGGGTTGTGGGCCATAATAAGTTCACAAAACGACCCAAGTCCAGGAACGTCCAGATTGGGAATTGAATCAGGGTTAGCCTACTACGTAATGCTAGAAAAGCGACATAACCGTGTCGAAGGACGTCGCATAAATCTACTTGACTGGATTTAGGTCAATAGTATGTCACGTATATTGTGCACGTCAGTTGAGAAATACAAACATGTTTCTGCACGGCTTAAGTCGTCAATGAAGGCGAAATAAATAAATAAATAAATAAACACACTTGAAAAACGCCTCTGTGTGGTTCGAACGCTTTTTATTATCATATTTTGCAGTAGAACAGAGGTAGGACGGATACAGACTGTCATTTCACTCAAGGTAGAAGGATACACGTACAGGTGAGAGGACCTCATCTCCATGCCTCAGACGGGGGTGGTGGTGGGGGGTGGATTACTCCTGTTACGCCCATAGATGAGCAGGGCCGCAGTCTTGCTGTCTCATGCACTCCTTCTGACCTTGAGGGGAACAGTAACAGTTTTCGCAAGAGAGATCTGTCGGTATCGTCTCGAAAAGCTTGTATGTCTGTGCCACAAACACGCACAGACACACACACATACACACACACACATACACACACACACACACACACACACACACAAACACACACATGCATACAAAAACACACGCACGCACGCACACACATACACACATACAAACACACAGGGAGAAAGAAAATGTAGGTGCAGGGGGAAAGGGGGGGGGGGGTAGGGGCATGGATAAAAGGGTGAAAGGGGGGGGGGGAGAAAAATAATATCGTTTAGTGTTCAGAAATATCATCTTTTAAACTACTGTAGATTAGATTGATGCCAAGAACTTACTACACGTTGGTGAATATCAAAATATTAAAATATAAAACCATAACTAACGACTACTACTACTACTACTACTACTACTACTACTACTACTACTACTACTACTACTACTACTACTACTACTACTACTACTACCACTACTACTACTACTGATGTCACGACTACTGATGCTATGCGATGTGACTTTTTGTCAATTGCTTTAAAGGTTACAGGAATAAGGGTCCTTCCACACATGTAAAAATGCCAGTGTTTTCTGTCCACATTCCCTGTGAGAGCCAGCCCTGCGTGAGAGGGTACACAATGCCCCAGCAGAAAGACCAAGATACTCGGTAAAATTCTTTCCACTCGGGAATCGAACTGGGTTTCCTGCGTGTGAATGGGAAGCACGTAACCGCTTCACCACAGATGCTGTCAACTTTGGTACGGTAAGCTTAGGGGAGGGGGTGGGGGTAGGATAATGAATAGAAGTACTGTATCCAGCCAGAGGTGAAACCTAGCTAAGGTGAAAAATGGTGAAATGGTATAATAGGTTTAACTCCCCCTGTCAACACTATTAGGTTATCTATTTAAGAGGCGGAATCTGTGTACAGTGGAATTGTATTCCTGAACATGCTCTATCCACTTGTGTGCAAATTTGGCAATTGTCTTTCTGCACCGTCAGTGGTTTCTTTCATTCTTTCTTTCCTTTTTACCCCCTCTGTCTTCAAAATTATTTATATTGTCCTAGTAGGACAAAAACCCGAACCCACCCCGCCCCCACCCCCACCCCCAAAACCTCCCTCCCCCCTCCCCATAAACAAATAAATAAATAAATAAACTAATAAATAAATAAATAAACAGAAAACTACCAAAAGTCGTCTTTCAACATCCTCAAACCCATCGTAGATTTTTCCGTCTGTTGGTCCCCTTATATTCACTCCGATTTGAAGACATACGGAAATGCCAGATAAGTCGCTTTCTAAAATTGATATGAGTTTTGGCCTCTTTTTTATGTTCTTTAATAATCGAATATCTCTTCTGCTAATGCAGTGGCGGTGGGAAGTGAAGGGCTCCCCCCACTCACCCCCATTCCCAGCTCTATACCAACGTAAATAAATGTTTCTTAAATAGTGAAATAAACAGTTGAAACCGTTATGATCGCACGCAATGAACACAGAGTGATCAAGTTGGCGGCTTGCTCCTTTATCCAATCACTGTTATCACCATTTACAACTATAGTTACCTAACAGCCAATCAAATGTCTTTAGGGCTCAGCAAAGGACAAGCACGTTCCCACGCCCTTCCTCAGTGAAACTCTTCCTGTAAAAAGGTAGAAGAATTGAAAAAAAATAAAACTGTACTGTGGGCTCACGCTTTCTTAGCCCTGACAATGAGGTGAAAGTTTACGACACACTTTTCTCCACTGATGGTTATCTACGCTCCCATTGGATCTTCGTTAGGTGCGCTCTACTTTCTTTTACTACACGGGGGCCTAATCCAGCTCATAGACGGGATATGTTTGAAGTGCTGTGTGTGCATGTTTGTGTTTGTGCTGCTGAGATTTTACTGTTATAAATCATTTCTAAACACTTTTAATTGGAGGTGAAACTGCTTCGTCAACCCCACCGTCCTGAAGAATTAATTAACTTTGAACAAAGAGAAGGGAGAAAAGGGTGACTCTTCACGTTTGAATGTTTCTCAAAATGCCGTAGCTCACCGTGAGTATTGAAAAATCATCACTGTTTAGATCTAATTGCTTTCTGTTTGGTGGTAAAGAAATGGAAGCAACCTAAGCCCCACCAAAATTTTGATCCACCCACCGCCATTGCGCTAATGATCACAGAGATACCCCAGCTCATCCCTGTGCTATGTAAGGTAAAAAAAACAAAGCGATGCTCACTATGAGTTACAAACATTCAGACTCTGAATTTTCATGTTCTCCACTTTTTAAAAAATTGACTTGTGTTAATTTCAGTCTTCATTCACTTTAATTATGACCGTACCCTAACGCACTGATGGTGGCTCTCGTGACCTAGAGGTTAAGGAGTTCACCTCTTATTCAAAGATTCCGGGTTCGAATCCGGGTAGCGACCGAATCATTTTTCTTCTCTAAAAATGTCTCCTTTCACCTCTTGTCCTGCTCTCTAGCAATGCTCTGTCGTCTGCTTTCGTCTCCTCTTTCTGCCCCCACCCCTTCACCTCCTTTGCCCCCTCCTCTGGGCTCTTTCTGCAGCCTTAATTCCTTGGCTCCTTCTTACTGCTTGTCTTTCAGCCACACCCCTGATCTTCTGGTAAAAAAAAGATCTAAACCTAGCCTTTTCGGACAAGGGCAAAAAATCTCGGAGGACTCGTGTGCAAGTAGCGCACGTTAAAGATCCCTTGGTGGTCTAAAATCGATAACAGTACGCTTCGGCCGCCATCCGGGCAAAACTCAAAATTTCCAACCAACTGAAAAAGTTGAATGTGTCCCGCGCGCTCATATGACCTAATGCAGTTGCGAGCTCCGTAAAACATTTACCCAAAAAAAATAGCGCGCATATAGCCACCACTCCTTTATGTACACAGATAGCCACCACTCCTTTATGTACACAGATAGCCACCGCTCCTTTATGTACACAGATAGTCACCACTCCTTTATGTACACAGATGGCCACCACTCCTTTATGTACACAGATAGCCATCACTCCTTTATGTACACAAATAGCCACCACTCATTTATGTACTCAGATAGCCACCACTCATTTATATACACAGATAGCCACCACTCATTTATGAACACAGATAGCCACCACTCCTTCATGTACACATTGTGGGGCTTCCACTTGATACGTAGGCATAGGCCTAGGGATCGACGTCTGCGTGCTGAGGACAACTATGGCGGCCAGGAGATGAAGGGAGATCATCTTGGAGCACATTGTGTCAGGTCTTGGGGCAAAAGATAGCAACTTTTTTGGAAACAAAGATACAATTAGATTGCTATGCCAAACACTTTTGCCACCTCGAAGCAAAAGATTCTTGTAGGCGGTACTATTACATTCTACCTGAAAAAACAACACATGAGGAAACAGAAAACGTCAAATTTGAGTGTCTTACTTGGAAGTCCACGGACCATGGACGAGGCAGCAATCCGTTCTCTGTACTCACTGCCATAGATATTTTCTGGCACAAAAATGGCCACATGTACCATCACAAAAAATAACAATAAATCGGTGGAGAACATAATATTATCACTAGCTGGGCCCCCTTTCCATGAAAGGAATGATCGGTGCATTAACATCAACTAAAAGTCATTGGCCTACTATATTTACACTCTACAGGGATGGAGCAATAAATCTAGAGAGATGCAAAAAATTAGAAGGTCTAGATCTATACTCTCAAAACAAACTGCGCCTTGCGAAATGATTCTGAACCACCGTTAATTTTATCAAATTCGAAAGTTAAGTGGTTGGGAAGTTTTATTAGATCTAAACGAAACTAACGAAAAACTGAAAATGTAACTACAGTGACTTCAGACTCCTCAATAAAACTGTGCACCTTTTCAATGATTCTGAACCACCGTTAATTTTATCAAATTCGAAAGTTAAGTGGTTGGGAAGTTTTAGGCTACCAACGTGACGAACTGTCACAAATATAATATGTATAGTTTATCCTTCTCCTGAGTGTAGAGACTGCTGGCGGTAGGATCTGTTTTTAACTACTAATATTGCGAGAGAGAGAGAGAGAGAGAGAGAGAGAGAGAGAGAGAGAGAGAGAGAGAGAGAGAGAGAGAGAGAGAGAGAGAGAGAGGGAGAGAGAGAGAGAATAATTAAACCGTCGTTGGAAGTAAGACAGTCAGTGAACCTGCATTTGCTTTAGCAAAACAGTTGTTCAAAGTACTTGAGCTGAGCACGCGAAATAAAGAAAGCTTAGTTTTGCTGACAAGAAGAAGTATACGCCTCAAGCAACACAATTACGAGAGATAGATCTAGAAAATTTCAGTACAAAAGTTACCCCCTTATGTGGAGGTCTCTGCTCTTTCGCAACAAAAACGACTTGAAAAAGACAACCAAAAAAAAAAAAAAGGGGGGGGGGGAATGTTAGATCGTCGATTACGTTGCCAGCGGAAATAGGAAATATAAGTGTTCTATGATGTGTGCAAAGTATTTCTGAGGCATTGTGGTGAAATCAGACGCTCGTTATAATAATGAAATCAAAGAAACCGTCATATTTTTGCCCGGTTTTTTTTTCGAATTTTCTTTTGTTGTTGTTGTAATAGGATCAACACTTTTTCTGTCCATTTCTAAACATTTCTGTGTGAATGTTACAGAGAGACATTTATCAAAGGCACAAGAAATACCAATTTACAGTTTTCAAAGACACCCAAGCTTTGGAAGTCACCGGATTTGACGGCCATTTTCTCACTAATGTTACATGTGACACCAGGAAATGCCCACTTCTTTTAATCGAAAATATCTCCTTTTTTTCTTATGATAGATAGGCACTCTTTTATTCCAAAGCAAGACAATTGGACAAACTTTCAGATGTTGCCAATAACTTCATATTCCCCAAAATTGACGAGCGCCTGATTCCACCGTGTTGTGACACATCTAGATTCTATAACAGAATAAATCCCACGTCATTGTTCTCTTTCATGTCTTTGGACGATTTATTTAGCGATGTCCTACTTAAATACATTAAAACATAAATCTATATATAAATAGAATCGAAATGGTCTAAAACAGCCACCCATTGTCAACTAGAAAATAAAATAATTGTCATTCTTAGACAGTTAGACGTTTTGGTCAGAACACGCATAGTTATAGTAAATATATTTAAAAAACACTTCATGGTCGGAGTGAGTCATTGGTACCGGTAACGGTGATTGTCTTGTACAGGTGGCCGCTAGGGTAGGTTCTACTGTACACAAGTACAGGAATAATTAGAGTAGGTTCTTCTGTACATAAGTACAGGAATAATTAGAGTAGGTTCTACTGTACATAAGTACAGGAATGATTAGAGTGGGTTCTACTGTACATATAAGTACAGGAATAATTAGAGTAGGTTCTACTGTACATAAGTACAGGAATAATTAGAGTAGGTTCTACTGTACACAAGTACAGGAATAATTAGAGTAGGTTCTTCTGTACATAAGTACAGGAATAATAAGAGTAGGTTCTTCTGTTCATAAGTACAGGAATAATTAGAGTAGGTTCTACTGTACATAAGTACAGGAATAATTAGAGTAGGTTCTTCTGTACATAAGTACAGGGATAATTAGAGTAGGTTCTACTGTACATAAGTACAGGAATAATTAGAGTGGGTTCTACTGTACATATAAGTACAGGAATAATTAGAGTAGGTTCTACTGTACATAAGTACAGGAATAAAACACGCTCTCACAAACCACAAACATAGACAATCCACACACACTTGCTGCTCGCTTCTGTGCAGCGCCCTGTCAGTTTTTTTAGCTTAAGTTATCGTGTCTATTTGCTCACCTCTGTTTATTTACTTCGTTTATTTCATCCGCCATTGTACTCGCCCCCATTAAAAAAAAACCCTCCCCTCCCACTCCCCCCCCCCAAAAAAAAAAAAATTATTTTTTTTAAAATAATAATAATAATTTTAAAACATTTTTAAATCCTTATGTTTCATATAGGTTAACATTTTTTTTGTTTCTCCCAAATCAACTCTGCGCAGGTTCAAATTCACAAAGTTTCAAAATGAACGAACCAGAAGCATTATGCAATCTACAAAATGAACGAACAAGAATCATTATTCATTCTACAAAATAAAGGCCAATGAGATAATCAAAGTGTCGTGGAGTGGTGGGATCAGGAGCTCGTCAATTGTCGGGAATACATAGAGCTATTGCTATAACATTATTAGTAGTTTTTTTTCTTGAACGCGGTGAAAAAATATTGATATATCTTGCACACAAGTACAAGTCGAAGCATGTGCCATTGAAGAAGGTGGGGATTACCTATTGTTACAAGTGAAATAAGCGAGAAAATGGTTTGTTTTACTGATGGCAAACCTAAATGCTAGTTCTCCTTCTTCAAAGTAACATTTTATTCGGATGGTTGGTGGGTGCTCTGGTGTGGTTTGCATCTCCTTTCCTTTAAAAAAAACAACTCTCCTCTTTATCTCTATCCTTCTTTTTTGTGTATGTTACTCAATTGTAACACCTCTAATCTTCGGCACTTATATGACCTTATTATGCTGCAAGTGCCGTAAAACACTTATTTCTGTTTTTCTTCTTTGGTTAAAAAAGTAAACTTCACCCTTCAGTCTGTTTTTTAGTGACTGGAGGAAGTTTCTGTGAGAACAAAATCTATATGAATCACCAAGCAGGTGGAAAAATACTGATTTCTCCTTCCCCTAAAATTTGGCAAGTGTCTGATTTCAACGCGATGGTCCTCAAATACTTACCACAAAGTGTCGAGCTGTTAGTTGAGCACTGGTCCAGCACACGTTGGACCACACTCTGGGCCTTCGTCTCTTTTATACCTGTCAAAATTATTGTAAGGCCTTTCCCTAATAATTGTGGCTCAAACATCAGAGATAATCGCTCTCAATTAGCCACCCACAATTTTATTATCACCGGCATAGTGGCCATTAAAAATGTCGTGAACTAGGATTACCATCATGGTTTATTATGATTATCAGCCGTGTATTAAAGCTAAGTGGCGCGCTCATATGTATTATGAACGTATGCCGTTGCGAGTGCCGTAAAACCTCAACTAAAACTAAAAATAGCTAAGTGAGCACTTAGTTCAGGCTCAAACTCAAAGTAATGCCAAGCAATTGTAGGTGATACGGGGTTTAGATTGGTGTCACTGGGTGTGTCCTTGAGCAAGACACGAAAACTGAACAAGGGGCAAAAACTTTACCTTCGATTTTCTCGAAACAGCATTTTTCGGGATAGCCCCTTTGTGCTTAAAAGCGACCATATGTATGTATGCATTTCTAATTATGCATGTAGGTATGTTTGCCATTGTAAGCTGAATTTGCCCTCAGGGATCAATAAAATAGTATAATCTACTTTTTTTTTAAACTTTAAACGGCGCTATAAAGGAGCTTACAAAAGGGCAAAAGGTTACTCTGTTCTGTAGGGTGGAGTGAAGCCTATGTATATATAAATTTATATATATATTAACAGCAAATTTAAACAAGTCTGTTTACACAGGGGGCCAAGAAACGGTTATGAAATTACTACAGTTGTTATTATCAAGTTGGTGTCAATCTATCTGTCATTATCTCTAGCCTTTCGTGGGCAGGAGCCGAGGCCACAATCACGCCATGACCTGCTCATATGGCGGGAAAACGTCGTGGAAACAAGCAGGCACTCGCAGCAGCCATGAGATTATTAGGAGTTAGTGCCCCTCACCTTTTTGAGGTACTCTATCAGTCTTAATTGTTAGCTTACATAATGAGTGCTTGTGACTGCTTATGAGCGCTTGTGACTGCTTATGAGTGCTTGCAACTGCTTAAGAGTGCTTGCGACTTCTTATGAGAGTCAGCAGACAGGGATGAACTGGGTATGTATGTGCACATTGGACATTTCATGAACTTCTGTTTACATTAAGGCCTACGCCCATGGGTGATTCTGACTTCGCCGTTATGCGATGTTCCCAACTCGAGGAAGGGAAGAGGGGATTATTAAAGTTGATAACGTTTACACTTCGCCCTGACAACAAGATGTATGTGGAGTGAGACAAAGAGGTTTGGGGGTCAGGGGGGGGGGAGTCAGCTGATTGAGGCTTGCAGCAGTTCTACAATTTGGAATACCAGGGGGTAACCGATGTCTGTGGTGTTGTCGTTAGCTGACAACAAACAAAGAAACAAACAAACAAACAAACAAACAAACAAACAAAGAAACAAACAAATAAACAAACAAACAAACAAACAAACTGCGTAGCGAGAGACATTGTCGCGGGAACAGACTGCATCAGTCAACAGTCCGTACAACACAATTCTGTCAATTGGGACACTGAGTGGGTGCAGTTTGGGGGAACGTTTGACATAGATCTATGGGGAAACCAACAACTTAGTCATAGCATAGCTTCACAAAACATTGAAGAGAGGAAGGAAGGATTTAGTACAACTTCTTTTACGTTATATATATTTACATCGCATCACAAACTTATAGTGTGGTAAAAAATTCGTGGTGCGACTTATTTTCAAATATCTTATCAACTATCGAACATAGGTTCTTCAATATTTGCACGGTAACTTGTATCAATTTGTCTAACAGATCAACATTTTTGTAAACACCTGCAAGCTGTATTCTAGAAAATTCCTTAATAAATACTAATAAAAAATCCAAGTGAGTGGTATCAGCAGATTTTGAAATGTTTACAGCTGGGGCAATCTTGCTTTTAATAGCAAGTCCGTCAGGTTTTTCTAATCGGGACATTACGCTTATTGATCGCATGTTTTGAGAGCTATTAGTGCAAAAATGTGTTCACTATAAAAACAACTTCTTGTAACAAGTTTTGCAAGTAAAATTGTCTTTGATGAGCTGTGAGGTAGGCCATATGCGTAATCAAAATGTGTGTGAGAAGCGGGAAGTGCTGTGAACAATACCATTTTACGTGTGACAGAGATTTCAAATATTTTATGTAAATTTATGAAGAAAAGTTTTCTAATCTAGTCCCAATTGTTCTGGAAAAACATCATTTAGTTAAGACAAATTGATACAAACTGCTATGCAAAGTATAGATGACATTGATTCACACGTTAAAGAGATATTTGAGGATAAGTTGCACCACGAATTTTTGACCGCACTAGATCTATAGGTCCAGTCACAAAGGTTCCAGAAGTCCCTACATAATGTATTAGACCTAATTTGGTCACAAAGGTCACAAAAGTTCTTATATAATTTATTAGACCTAATTTGGTCACAAATATTACAGAATACAGATGTCCCTACATCATTTATTAGACTTAATTAGGTCACAAAGGTCACAGAAGTCCCTACATAACTTATTAGACTTACACTTACAGTTACAGATTTTAAAAAAAAGCTTTACAACTTTTTTTCTGATTATCTTGCCCAAAAAGAATGCTGTAATTTGGAACAGACATAATTCATTCAAGAGGAATTTGTTTGATATAAAATCCACGAAGAAAAAACGTGTTTTGAAAACAGAAACGGCTAAAAGAAAAAAAACCTAAAGATGTTACGGGTAGGGTAAGTAAAGCTACAGAAAGAAAAATACCATGAACATGTAGCTAAAATATAATGCGTCCAATGAATTGTATAATATTATTATTATTTCTTTTAGAAGAAACAAGGGAAGCCTGTAGATGGGTACTGAGTTATACACTTTGAAATCCACCAAAGTTCCAGGATTTTCGCGTTATGGTTTCCTTGGCAAAGATCATTATTTTTTTAATGTTTATTTTGTTACACTCTTAATGTACACTGGCTCCAAAAAGAAACTTGAAAATGTAATCACAGTTATCGGTGTTAAAGCTTTGCATTACCCACTCATGCAGCATACTAATTTAAAGCTTAATAAATTCTGCATCATCTGACACATTAATATTTCATGACCGAGATATGGTCACTCAGAATTGACCTTAGCAAATCAGGCTTGACAAAAATGTGCGAAATCAAAGAAACGTAAAATTTTCTTTGCGCGTATATTGAGGAGCATCAATATTGATAGAATGGGCATATATTGCTTAATTAATTATTAGAGAATGTTGTCACTTGCGAATAACAATATTTTATACGATATCTTATTAATAGTTGCAAATAAAACAGAAAGCAGAGCAATCACAACTGCCACGCAAAACTGATTTAACATTAAATGTGCGCATTGCTATTTTGCTTAGGAGACATTGATTTTGTGCTGAGCACGAACGCTTTGGGCATCGACTCTATTAACTTTTGGTCATAATTATTTGTCATTTCATCTCAAACAAAAGGGTCCGCTGAATTGAGAGCAATGTCGCTTTCCTTCCGCTGCTGTTTCATGGGACTTCACATACTTGTAGGATTCATATCGGGGCTATTTACTGGTGACCATTCCAGAATTTATTTGGTTTGGTTTTCCAAGTATTGTTAAATGGCATTGACCCTGTAAGAAAGTGATTTGCTATTCATGGCTTGGAGATGTCTACTTGAATGACACCATGACAAAAATAAGGGTAAGACATGGCGTTCCAGCACTTGCACAATAATGGTCCACTGAACCAAACTATCTGGTGATTCTCACGGGGGTGGTTTTGTTCATTCCACCCCAGACCAACCAAAACCATGGCAGTTTCGTGGCCTACTCACTGACAGATGATTATGTCCAACATCTAACTGGCACAGTCCAAGTGCAAAAATGGTTTCGTGCTCTTCACGAAACTAATAGTTCCTAAACGTGCAAGTACAACAGTGGATCCTACTTCAGTTTCGCTTTCGGCAATTTATACCCCAGACATAAAAACCGTGATAAAAGTCAACCAGATACCACACGTTTTGTATTCGGTTTGTTTCAGGCACGACATTACAACTACATAGCATAGATAGAAGGGCCTAGTAAGGGAGGGAGGGAGAGAGAGAGAGAGAGAGAGAGAGAGAGAGAGAGAGAGAGAGAGAGAGAG